ACGTTTTCACGTTGCCAAGGTTGAGAAACACTGCACTAAACTAAACTAAACTAAACTAAACTAAACTAAACTAAACTAAACTAAACTAAACTAAACCACTACAAAAAAAGTAATCTTGCAACCTGCAAGATTTTTTGTAGGTTTGTTTCCCCCAACATTGTTTTAGATTGTTCAGAAATCATGCAAAGAGACTTCTTGATACAAGCAGGAGTGCAACCATATTGCAAAACTTTTCCTGCGCTAGTAGGAAAGTAGTCCTCGTTTAGCGACCACAACTGGGACCAGCCACTCAGTTTGTTAAGCAAAGTGGTCGCTAAGACTGTGCTTACAATCTGACTTCCGCTTTCCTTCGCTTTACAGATCTGAGGAGGTCATAAATGCGAGGACTGGTTATAAAGTTATTTTTCTCATCATTGTCTTAAGTGTGAACGGTCGCTAAACAAGGCCGTTGCTAAACGAGGATGACTTGTCTGGAGGAATCCATACCTAGGACGTGGTATGCTCTGGCCTGAAGCTTGGGGAAATCAGACTTCTGGAGACATACTTGGAGAAATTCAGAAATTTAAAACAATGTCCAATGAATCGGGCAAAGTTAAAAGCAGGAAGATGGTTGTGTTAGGAATGCCACTGCATTTTGGAACGGGTTTCTTGGTGGGGTGTGATTTGCAATATTGCGTGCCTTGCTCTTCAGGTGCAGGCGTTGCTGTGAGGATTAAGGAAGACGGACAGAAAATCATTTACTTGCCGAAAGGGGAGTCGGTGAAACTGGGGTGCCCCTTTTCTTCCGATCCTGAAGATAACACCCCAGATAGCGACTGGGACATCCAGTGGAAGCAGCTGAAACCTGGTCCACACCCCCAGTACAACCCAGTGAGTTGGAGATGTTATTATTTTTTTTAAGCCCTCCATAACTGGGGGCCACCCCAGACTTTCCACCTCTCGCTATAGCTGTTTCCAGGTCCTCCACCATTCCTGCTAACAGGCCAGGAACCGATCTGGCCTCCTGAAGAGGAGACCTGGTGATTCCCTGGTTTCGGTTAGATAAGCAGGGCACCATGGCAAAGGGGCATGCCCGCCGCAGATCACGAGCTGGGCAAGATAGGGAATGAGACACTTTCAGCCTCTTCTCCTTGGCATCTTGTAATCTGCCATTTCAACTAGCTCGTATAATTACCTTTTTGGGGCTTTGCGATAAATGAGGGTGGAGAAAAAATTATCTCAATCCTCGAGAATCTTCTGGAAACACCTTAGTTGCTGAAAATGTAATCAGGCATTACCTGTTGCCCAGAATCTCTTTTTTGAATCATAAGGACCAGGAACCTGTCTCTTGTGTCTAATTCCCAAACACATCCAGCATTATACCTTTTCCTTCACCCTCTTCTCCAATTTTTTACCTGCATCCCTGATTTTTCGCCAGCTCCTTCACCTTCTCCTCTGATTTTTTGCCAGCTCCTTCACCTTCTCCTCTGATTTTTCCCCAGCTCCTGGGTTATCACGACCACCGTATCGTCTACGCAGGGCCTCCTGAATTCCAGCAGCGGGTAGGGTTCACCTCTGCAGATCCCAGCCTATATGATGCCTCCATGCAGCTGCGCGATCTGCAGGTTAGCGATTCTGCGACATACGAATGTGTCGTGAAGAAGACCACTGAAGCTACCCACAAAGTGACCGTCACTGTTCAAGGTAAAACTCAGCTCCCCTCCAGGCCAGTTGGGGCTGGGCTGAGATTCTTCTTCTCACTGGGGAGGAAACAAAATTATCATTTTACTTAGTCCTCGTTCGGCTAGGAAGAATTCTTTAATTGAGTTCTTGTTCTGAGGTATCTGTGTTTTGCATTTGCAAAACCACACCAGAAAAAAGCAGACTTTGTGGAATCATAAGTAGTGCTTTGAGATTCCTTTCGTGCAGCGTTTTCTTCCCTGACCTCATTGCACCGACACCCACACAGAGTGTTTCGATGCGATAGGTTCTGCAATCAAATTGAGAATGTTTTCTGTTGTGTGTCTCGGTGTGTGTTTGTCAATATGTGCACCCAGGTGCATTAGAACTATACAGTTAAGGAACAATCTTAGAGGGTACCTCATCCTCATTTTTTTTGGACATTGTAAATAAATTGGTTTTTTAGAGCGTTTTACTGGACACCCACAAACCTGCAGAAAAGAGATGCAGGTCGTCCTCAGGTTACATCCATTCCTTCAGCAACTGTTCACTGTTATGACGCTGCTGAATGAGGGGGACTTTTGACCGGTCCTCGGATTTCCAGCTGTCACAGCATCCTCACGGTCACATGACCGTGATCCCTCAGCACCCAGCTCGCAATTACGACGCCGCAGGAAGTTGTGGTCACGTGTTCGTGATTTCTGACATTCCCTGCCAGCTTCCCACAAGCGAAGCCAATGGGGATGCTGGCAGAAAGTCAGAATCATGATCATGTGAGATCCTCCCTTAACTCCCGCCCGGTCCTCGCTTAACAACGGCAACTGGGACAATGTGAAGCGATGCAGTCGCGTGATGTCACACTTTACGACCATGTCACTTAGTGACAGCAATTCCAGTCCCAACGGCCATTGTAAGTCGAGGAGTACTGATACTCAGTTTTGCAATTGCGCTGAGAACTGTTTTTGTGCACAAAAGGAACCGAAGCATTGGACCTAGGGAGGAAGGGCAGGGAGGGTGTCTGCTGTGAGTGCAGCAGCCATGTTGACGAAGGACCTAAAACCAAACAGAGGGGGAAAGTGACTAATTTATTCTCTCCGCTGACCTACCCAGAAAAACCACTCCTTCCTCAATGCTGGATAATTGGCGAGGTCACATATGGGGAGGACATCACTCTTCGTTGCTTCACTTCCACGGGCTCTCCGCCGCTCAGCTACCGGTGGTCCATGTTGACTGGAAATCAGTTCCATGATTGGATGCCTTCAGGAGGAGCAATAGGTGAGTGTCTGTGTTCCTGCAGCAGGACTTATCCTTGGGGTGGCTGGAAGAGCAAAGGGAAGTAGGCTGTGACTGTGGAAGAGGCATGGCTTCATCCAGCTTGTGGAACTCCTCAGCGCTAGGTGTTGGCAATGGCTGAGAAAACGAGGTGGCTATCCCAGAAGAGGGGGCAGAGAAATATGACAGACAGGGTGCAGACATCTGGGGAGAGGCATTCGTTGGGATAAGTTAAGCTTCAGGACTCAGAGGCAGTCTACCCCTGAGGACTAGATTTCAGGGGCAAAGGACACGTCCATGATTGCCCCACTTCACTCTACCCTGGTTAGACCCTATTTGGAATACTCTGTCCAGTTCTGGACACCCCAGTTTAAAAACAGAGGGACCAACTGGAGCACGATGGTGAGAGGTCTGGAAGCCAAGCCCCGTGAAG